GTGTTGATATCTGGACGAATTGACTCAGTAGGACATGGAACATCCTGCTTTGGATCTCAGTAAGCGTGTGAAAGGGATTCCGTGTGATTCCGAGAACCGCTCCGTTTGATTGTTCAAGGTCTGAACCGTGACGACCTGCCAGGAACCGCTTACTTCCCCGTCTTCGACCTGACAGCCCAACCGGCACAGCCCAAGGATCGATCCCGCAAGATCTGACCACGCCGAGCTTGGAGGATTGGAAGGTGGGGGATGATCTGCTGCGGGGATCAGCAAGTACAGTAGTTTCGAACTTGTCCGTTTTTTTATCCCAGGATTTTCATGCACAAAACAACCTCAAAAGTAGCTCCCCGCCTTAAGGGCCCGATGCGATTCCAAGCACCTTGAGAGACCCACGACCAACCGCTCCTCTCGTTCGGCAGCGGCCGCCCATGCTGCAGCGTGCCGCTGGCAGTGTCTCCAGGCCAGTGCAAAAGCATCAAATCGACCTCCGCGACATCATGTGTGATATATGGAAATAACGGTGGCCATCATCTGGGGATATCATATAGGATCAATCATGTTTGTCCCTATAGGTGGGAACTGGCCAAGCTGCTAACTGGATAAACCATGGTTCGACTTGTTCAACCGTCACCATAGATGGCTTCCGTGAATTCTTTCCAAGAAGCCAGCATTGTGAAGCAAATCATAAACCGTCCCAGATTTTGTGAAGCGAATTGGTTTTTCACCGGTCCGGAAACCTCATCCCGCCCAAAATCGAACGCCTATACGGCTTGGCGCTTCCATGGCGTCCTCGACTTGGATCACAAACCTGACGCGTTGGAAGACGTGTTGGAAAGCTTTCGAGAGATTTTGACGCAAGAACAGGGCCGAGTTCGTCAGCCCATGTTCCCGGCCACATCGAGAAAAGGCATGGGCGGCATGGGTTTTGTCTTAAGGCAGTTAGTTTCTTTTCTTATTGTGAAGATATCCATTTCAAAAATCTAAATCTCACATCTTGACATTCCATGCATCGAACAATTCATGGGACACGAGGACATCTACGTTGCGGTTCAGCGAAAGCACCTCACACTCACTCATCTGCACTGAGACCGGCCGAAGTGGCGATTGACCAAGGGACTGGTTGGTGGTTTCAACCACAAATGAGTCAGTAGGATTTGGTTTGGGATTCATCCCATGTATTCTTGGTGAAAAGGTGAGGGAGAGATGAATCAGTCAAGTCGATCGCTTGGTTCAGGTTGGCTCGTTGATCGCCGCTGGGCGCCCAGTGGCACCTTTGAGGTGATGAAGACATCCGTCCTCAGCGGTCAAAGAAGGGGGGGGAATGAACCGCTCCTTACCCAAGGAAAACGGGATTCTTCGAAGAAAGGGAGATTGCTGGGTTCAATGGAGAAAATCGCATGATCGTTGCGTTGCAGGGCAACTCTTGGTGGCAACTTCTAGTCGTTTGGAAGGACGGTGAATTCCGATTTTACGCATTTCAAATGATTGGCCCTGTGTGTTTGAGCCAACCCTCCCTACTAACCAGTGGTGTCTGCATCCTTCCTTCTCTCAACAAAAGCCGCTCAACAAACATCCCAAAGCACCTCAACCCCCACGCGCTTCTTCCGATTCCTTCTGTTTCACACGTGGTCTGCCAAGTGGCCGTCGTCTCTCCGTCTCTGCCGCGCGGTCAAAGCCTTGTCGAATCTCCTGCGATACTCACCCAACACGTGAACGTCCCACTGTCCTCCTCCTCAGAAATGGCCACCCAGTATCCCAGTATAGCTACCGCTTCCTCAAGTGGGGAAGAAGAGTTTGATCATGTTTGATCTCTCAACCCTGCTCATGCCACACCAATCCCTGAGGAATCTTCGTCCATTCTCCGCTCGGGCTCGATTTTGGGTCCAGCACGGTCGAGCTGGGATTTGGATTGATGAGATACCTGGATACATTCCTTGTTGGTGGGGCCTTCTATGGATTGGTCCAGTCCTAGAGAGGTTGAAGAGCCCCATAGCCCATAGCCCATCCCATATGTACCACAGACCAGGGTTCTAGTTCAGGTCACGTAACCTCTCTTGGGTGGATCGGTCCAGTGGTCGACGTGACCCAGAGTTGATGGCGGTCAGGGTGAGGTTTATAGTGGAGTGGAGTCCGCTGAGAGTGGAGATATATGGCCGGGATATGCCGGGATTGATGAGATATATGGCGACACCTGAAATGAGGGTGTCGAAAAACCGAGATCTTGAATGGTTGGAATTGCACAATTCCTCAAGCCTTCCACCTCTTCCACCTGCTGACACGCATGAAACTGTAAAGAAAGACACATGAAAGTGGACATGCATTGCTTCTAAGGGAAAAGGGTCTTGCAACATGAATTCTTGATGTGTACCGGCGATTTGCTATCAGCTCGTTTGTTTGGTATGTCATTCCTTTCACCCAAAAGCAATGCTCTCATAGAGCCGCTTTTCTACAAAAATCTACCCACCACACCCCCAACCAAAGGTTTCTCTTTTGTTGTTGTTGTTGCCCATGGCCCACTTCACCACTTCAATACCGCCCGGGCGCAAGCGCAGCTCGGCCTCGACGTGGGGGGATGTCGTATCCGAGCGGAAGAAGGCAAATCTCCCGCGAAGAGCCTCGGAGAGCGCTCAACCGTGCCGCGTGGTGCGTGGCGCGTGGCGTGTTCGAGAAGGGGTTGGTTTGGATGGTGTGAGCTGGCAGGGTGGCACCCAAAGTCAAACCCTATTGATTAGATTAGCATGGTCATTTTGATGGGTTTCGGATGGTCCTGTCTTCAGGTGGGGCGTGACCAACTTGGTTTTGCTTCATGTCCCAATCAACGGTTCGTCGGTGCGGCTCTTTTTCTTCCGTCTTGATGCCTTCTCAAACACACCCAGTGGCCAGGTTCCACTGGTGGCTGGGGCATTGGTGGGCCATGATGATGCGGGCCACCACCCATGCCACCATGAGCAATCCTGGCAGTGCAAAGACCAAAAGGTAGAACAAGCCTCGTCCTCGCGTCTCCGGTTCTCGCCACATGATCGAGATCCATGCCATGGCCATCTGAGATAGTTTGAGCGTGGCGCTGATCAGTCCCAAGCCCAAAGAGACCATGATCTTGAGCCGCCCCCACCCGTCGAAACGGGCGAAGGCGGCGCTTAAAAAGGCCGTTTGTAAAAAGAGCTGCGGCAGATTTTCTGCCAGCACTTTGATCAAAACGACTATGAACGCCTTTCCGCTCCCGGCGCGCTCGTCGAAGTAGGTGGCCAGGCCGTGGAGGCCCGCCACGTCCGCCGCGAGGGCTGCGGCCCTGTCCGGGTGTGTC